ATTCACAATTACGCATCGTTGATCGAGACGGAAATTTAATAAACTCTCGAGGTGAAGTGATAACGATTAGGTTACACCTGAAAAGTACGTGATGGGAATCGCTTATAATTTAAACAGTAGTATTGGATATGTGATGGTGTCCTGTCTAGAATAGCCGACCTTGTCTGGCTCACATTCTCTCTTTCTCTAGCAGACTCGCTCCTTCGCTGTTGCCCTGGCGAGCGTTTGAACATTACAAACCGATACCGATGATCGCACCGCTTTATTTCAGGCCCAATACCTGACCGGGTATCGTCATCAGGAGCAAATTGGGAGCGAGAACGGCTGCGACAAGAAGAAGAGAGAGAGATTGACACGTCGCGAGTAGAGAACAAGCGAGCGCGAATGACCCGCAGCGATCCGCTCGCGAGAACGAAGCCGCCGGTGTTGCTCGAGCCGACGCGTGAACGATTAGGGGAGAGAGTTCGAGCCGAGATTCTGAGTTAGGCGGATCGTTTTGACGGTCGAACATGTGTACGTGAGAGAATGCAAATCAGTCAGGTCGAGACAAAGAAAGCTGAGGACGACGAGCAGATTTAAACACGGAGAGGACTTCCAACGACCCTCGCATCGTAGAATCCATCCGAGCCTGCGACGAGCCCGCCAGCAGTCCCGCAGTATTTCCTGCCTGTAGCGGAATTACCAGCATTTTCTGCCAGCAGCTCCAGCAGCAGTTTCTGCCAGCAGCTCCAGCAGCAGTTTCTGCCAGCAGTACTAGCAACGATTCCTGCCATCAGCCTTCACCATGTCAGGTCGTCTCTCTCTCTCTCTATTCGTGAGTGTGCGACGCGTCGGCGAAGTGCTCGCGATCTTCCGCGAGCACGGCGAATTTCACGATCAGAACGAGTCCCTCCTTTGTAACCTTCTCAAATCATTGTACCGTGCCCCCGTGCGATTTTCCGCACGAACGCAGGCACGCGGCCATTGAGGACGACGCGTGAACTCGCGTCGTCGCACTTTTATTGTTAAACGTAGAGAATAAATATTGTTAACGGTTATTGGGAGTGATTATTGTGTTCGCCCGTCATTCCTTTCCTCTCAAACCGAAGCCTAAAATGCCAATTTAGTGACGAGGCCCATCGTCACCGTTCAGAGGAGCGTAAGAGCCTCCTTTACCTTCCCTTTTAAAAATAATTTGTGATACGGCGCTTTCGCACGAGCCCTTGCATGGCTCGTGGAAATTACCATTTCTCAAAACGCGTTAGATTTTAATCATTAGTGTCACATGGGATCCCTTGTGGGGAAAGCTGAAAAATTGGCAATTTATGGGCTGAAAGGAACGGGGTGCAGATTGAAACGCACTTGTTAAACTTTAAAATCGAGGAATTGGAGAGGACAAAGGCTGAGTAGAAAGCACGCGTCGAATTCGCGCGAATGTCGAACAGCGTGAGTTGGCGCTTGTTGTTGTGAGCCGCGAGCGGTCGAATAGTGCCGGTTAGTAATCCGAGCGGTCTGTTTACATTCACGCAGGCCGGCTGCGCCTTCGAAACGAGGCAAGATAAGAGCCGCGTGGGCCACGGAAATACCGAATTTGAACGTGAACGATTGGTGTCTTTCATTTTTACTTTAATAGCAAACATCACCGCTTACTGTCGTCGCTGCGCTTAGGCCTGGACGGGTGTGCTCGGAGTAGTGTTTCGAAGGTCACCAATTGTCGTTAATTGTTTTGATTGTGAGGCACAAGGCCTAGTCAAGTAGCATTGTTGCTAAGGGGATTATCGCTAAACAGTTGACTTGTCTTTGCCCAAGAGCCCGGCTAATGTGCATGTTATGAAATTTGACTTTGTCGTGTAGTGTTTGATGCAAGAAAGAGGAAACTGTAGGACGCAGGGTAAACACTTGACGTAAATCCGCCGAGTGTACCTGATGCAAGAAGGAAGCGTTAACCAGCAACATTTCTGGAATAGAGTTTTACATAGCCCGACAAGAGGTGCGTAAAGTCGCACCTGAGTAATTGTAGAAATCGTTGTTTGTGTAGGGTCAGCGTATCTATACCAAAACGTTTCGGTTACATTATTGCAGGTGTAGGTCACGGATTTTGCCGGTGACTCGTGTTAGGGATGGATCATTTGCGCCAAGAGGTGTCTTGAAACGGTGACGTCACAATGCCGCCCCCGCGACCGATAAATCCCGTGATGCGCGATATCTTGAAGGATCGAGGCATACGAGCGCTGAAGCGGCGCATCACTGCGATCCCACCGGCTGAGCTTATGGCTCTGTTAGAGAGAAGTCAGTTAACTGTGAGTGGCACGTACGAGGACCTGCGGAATCACACGTTTCGGTATATGATCGCGCGCGAGAGACCCGAGTTGAATCCACCGTTAGCTCCTGGAGACTTCGCGGTGGGCTTCCTCCCAGGTCCGCCCGAAAGTATCCTACATGAGGAATTGCAGGAAATCGCGATGACCGGAATCGTGGATGGTGAATGTCCAGGAAATGGGTGAATGGTAAGTCCGATCGAGCCAGCGAGGAGTCGTGGCCGACCGCGTGCGGCGTCGCGACGCGTAGAACCTAGGGCGTAGCCGAGGGGCCAGACATAGTTCGGGTGACCGACGGACAGGGACCGACGAGTTGACGCCCGTGGATGGAACGTTGGCGACGAGCACCGAAGAGGAGCCGGCTCAAAGTCCCGGTGTCCGGTATTATGGACAAGAGGATGAGTCTGGCATTCTAGGTCAGGTGTAGGGCGCGTTTGTGTAGTTGCCGCGCTTAGTGATACGTCGTGAAGTCCGAGAGGCCCTGTCCGGTAGCGCTAACAACCTTTATCGAGTGGTGCAGGCCGCGATAGGAGTGCAGGCCGATGGGCGAGGGCAATGGGCCTCCGCCGTGCCGATGGCTACTCAAGCCTCGGAGACGCGACCACCGAGTAAAGAGCCATCCCCCTCTACTGTTAGCGAAGCGGAGTCGAAGGGAAAAGACGAGCAAGGGTCCTTCTCGGATAAAGAAGTGAATGAGGCCAGGAGCAAAATCCCGATTAACGCCGGACAAGAGTCGAGCACGCCGATTGCGGCGGGAGAGCCGGTGGACCCGGCTAGAAGTTTGAAGGAGGTTTTCCGGGAAATTTTGTGCGAGTGAGGCGGTGAAAGACGAACGGTCCTGATTAAGGGCGAAGGAATAGAGGGTGGAGCAGATGACCACCGCGAAGAGTGCGCGCGGCATAGGACACGAGCCAGAGCTGGGGCGGAAGAAAGTACCAACTCGTCGGGCTCGGATACGGATGACGTGCACGCGCCCGAAAGGCATAGAGTGGGCCAGGCGAAACGTCGGGCAAGAGCGAGCACCCGTGCGCCGCGTCGGTATATAGGAGGTAGGCCGGCGGACGCTGTGAGCGTGTTCCGTGCCTTGTCACTCAAGTTTAGCGGGGAGAGTAACGCGGACACAGACGAATTCGTGAGAGAATTAACTCGATGTCAGAGGTTTTACGGATTAGACGACGATGAGATCTTGGAAGCGGTGGGTGTGGTACTCTCGGGAAAAGCGGCGTTGTGGTACCGGAGTAATGAGCTTAATTGGTCTAACCTCGACGAGTATATTGAAGACTTTAACGAGAAATTCGGTAAACATTGGAAGCGGTTGGATTCATACCAGGAGCTGCGCCTACGCATGCAAGCTGAGGATTACAAGTCCCTGAGTGGTTACATCAGCGTTCCAGTCTATATTTAGGCGTTTTGATCGTCCCCCGTCGGAAAAGAGGCAGGTGCGCATCTGCAAGGAGGGATTACATCCGACATTCGCGAGAGTCCTGTACCAGAAGTCTTTCTCGTCTTTGAGAGAATTAAAGCGGGAAGGCTGCGAGTATGAGCGGCGGCGCGACCGAGAGAAACGCTGGCGGCTGACGCGGCTTCTAAGGGCGCCGCGAGATCCAGGAAGAGATCTGATAATGCAGCCGCGGTGAAGGCGGAAGAAAAGGCCAAAATCACCCCGGTCGAGCGGTCGGGGAATGATCGGTTGCGGGCGCGAAATAAACGAAGGAAGAGTGCCTCCCTGGAAGGAGAAGTTACGGTGAACTTGCGGCCGTTGCAAAAAAACTCGGTTGAGCGGCGAGGCGATGGCACCAAAGGTTCGACTGCGGTGGACGCCGCACTCCCAGTTGCCCGGGCGAATGATTCGGGACAAGCGCGACATCAAGGCGCGACGCCGCCGAGTTTGATTCCGCAGCAAAGAGGGGAGTGCCTCGGAATAGTTGCGGGCTTGCAGGTAGTCGCCCGTTAAGTGGACTTTGTTTTACGTGCGGAGTGAGTCGGCATAGAAGCGCGTAGTGTTCGGACCGGAGCACTGGTGGAAGTCGTGGAGGCATCGAGAACTCGCCACGATGTTTTAAGTGCAAGCAGCTAGGGCACTATGCTAACACGTGTCCGGGGGCCTCGGTATCGTATCAGGTTTGTGACACGCCGGGTTTCGTATTTAAGGAGTGTCCTACATGTGCGGGTAATGTGAAACGCCGGGATTTGCTCACTGAGGCCTGCGTAAATTGGCTCGACCGAGCATGGCTGGCGTTAAGGGCACACCAGGAACGGCTGGCACGCCGAGCGCATGTTTTGGCGAGTATAGCAAAGAGAGGGTCGCTCGAGACTGGCGAGGCGGCGTTCGCATCCGCCAGCAACCCGCCGGGCTCGAACACTTGCAGCAGAGTAACAAATAAAAAGAAATTGAAGTCGGATCGTTTACGCGTAGTCGGAGACGCGTGTAGTGAGCAGACAGGCTTGAGAGCGGTTTTCGGTGAAAATCTGTCGAATAGGTACGAGAGGTTAAGAGTAGCTGACCTCGATAGTAAAGAATTCTTCGAATCGGTAGGAGCGACGGATGGGTCGCGAAATAGTCGTTTCTCCGCGCTAACATCGGCGTTCGCGTGGCAGAGATCACACAAAGGCGATGCGTTGAGTGAGGTATCCTTGACCCGCGTCCAGTCAGGAGACGTGGCAGAGGAGGAACCGCGAGGCTTAACGAGATCGGCAAAAGTGATGACAGTAGAGCCTGAACGAACGGTGAGAAACAGCGTAGTTATGGAGAAATCGCAATGCTCTGGTCGCGGCGAGTTAGGCCGCGCCGTTGAGGGCGAAAACTCAAGTAGGACAAACGAAACGCTAAACAGAGGCCAAGTCGAGCGGACCGCGGAAACGCCGTCCTTACGCTCCTTGAGCCCTCCAGCGGGTTTAAAGGTCAGGAAGCGGGATAATGAACAAGTCGAGCCAGCAGCGATGGAGCCGCTTCGATGCTCCTTGAGACCGCCCGTGCTGGTCGATTTAGTAACTAATGGGTCGCTAAAGGTCAGTAAGGTCGTTGCCGAAGACGTGAGTGTATCGGAAAAGGTGGCGGAAGTACCTTTCGTGTTAGTTGAGGGAAAGACCGGGAAAAGCTCGGGAAACTCTACTACAGGGAAATCGAGTTATAAGGATGTAGCGCATATAGCGGTAGTCGAGAACAGGTTCTTTGTCACGATTAATATCAACGGTACGAATTACTCGGCTATGGTTGATTTGGGTGCACAAGTGACCGTCGTAAGCCCGGGGACAGCGAATAGATTCAAGTCGCGACTGAAAACTCCGACTACAGTAGTAAAGGGAGTCTCGGGCGAAGAACCAGGTGCGCTCGGAGATCTGAAGTTGCACCTGGAGATCGGCGGAAACTGCGGAGCTTTGACTGCATGCGCGGTGGCGAGGTGCGCGCACGATCTGATACTCAGTGTTGACTTTTGGAACGAGTGGATGGAAGAGTTTAGTATTGAGAGACGCGAATGGAGGCCGAAAGGCTCAAAAAGCTGGATTCCGTTTGCGAGTAACGAGAAAGGATCGGCGCACATATTTGCGGAATGCGCGGGATTGACTAAATATCGTGAAACGCAGCGAGAACAGGTGTTGCACAGTATTGCGCTGAAGCCCGGAACCGCGCCGGCCGTAACGGACTTGATCAAGCATATCATAGACGTCAGTAACGCGCGGCCTATCAAGACATCTATGAGGCGAATGTCGCTTCCAATCTTGAGCTTTGCGCAAGAGGAAACGATGCAGATATGGCGCGCAGAAATCATAAGACCGTCGGATTATCAGTGGAGTAGCGCGCCGGTGATTGTCAAGAAGGCAGTCGGAACGTATCGATTTTGCCTGGACCTTTGTCCGGTGAATAAAGTAACTAAAATCGATGCATGTCCGATCCCTAATCTCGATTCGATTTTGGATCGGCTGCGCAGCGCGGTTTTTCTCTCAAAAATCGACTTACGGTCAGCATTTTGGCAGATTCCGTTAAAGGAGAGTAGTAAGCAGTACACTGTATTCGCGGTACTGGGATCAGGACTGTGGGAATTCGAGAGAATACCGTTCGGTCGAGTGAATGCCTCCGCAACGTTTATGCAATTAATGGACGCTTTGTTTGGCCCGGAATACTCACCGAATGTATTCTGGTATATGGATGATTCATTAGTAGTGAGTACGAGTTTCGAAGATCACATGGCTTGGTTAGGTCGAGTGTTGCGTAGGTTAGTGGAGGTAGGCCTAGAGATAAACTTGGGAAAGTCGGACTTCTTTTGCACCGAAGTCACACATCTCGGCTACCGTTTAGACTGCGAGGGCCTACGCCCCGACCCGGAAAGAATTCAGCCGATCCTCGATTACTCGGTGCCAAGGAACATAGAGCAATTGCGTCGATTTTTGGGTATGGTTGGGTGGTATGCGCGATTCATCGAGAACGAAAGCGATGCCAAAGTACCGCTCATGAAATTGATCAAGAAGAATCAACTATGGATGTGGGGCGAGCAGCAGGAGACGTTCGAGCGATAGAAACGAGTGCTCACGGAGGCTCCTGTGCTTGCACGGCCAGATTTTGAACGAACATTTTATCTGCACTGCGATGGTTCTTTGTACGCGGTGGGGGCATGCTTAGTGCAGATATTTGAGGACGGTGAACACTCGATTTGTTATGCGAGTCGCATGCTAACCCCGCATGAGCGTCGGTATACGGTTAGCGAGATCGAGTTTTTAGCGGTTCGCTTTGCAATCAAGAAGTTTAGGCCGTATATCGAGGGGTTTAATTTCGTGGTGGTAACGGACCATAGTGCATTGACTAGATTGTTGAGTAAGCGAGATCTCGTGGGGAGACTCGAACGATGGGTGCTGAAGTTTCAACAGCTCGATTGCGAAATCGTACACAGGAAAGATGCTTTGCACCATGTCCCAGATGCACTCTCACGCGAGTTCGAGGCCGCGGCAGAGGTTTGCGAGTTCTCGGCTATGGAGGATACTTGGTACCTACAAAGGCTCCAGAAGGTTCTCGAGCGGCCTGAGAAGTACAGAAATTGGAAAGTGGAGGATAATTAACTGTATAGGTTCATGACAATCCATCTGATGGACTCAGATACCCATCGCGCAGAGTATTGGAGACTAGTAGTTCCGTTGGAGTATAGGGAAAGGGTGTTGCGAGATGTGCACTGTGCGCCGTTCTCAGGGCATTTCGGGCAGGAAAAGACTTATGATTGCGTGCCTCGCGAGTACTACTGGCGAGGCGTCTGGTATGACGTGAAGACCTTTGTCGACCAGTGCCAAGATTGTCAGCAGTACAAGGTCGAGCGACGAGCGCCCCAAGGGTTAATGGGAAGGCTTGATTGAACGTCCTTAAGTGGTGGTCGCGACGGACGTGGTGGAGTTGCCGTGGAGTAAGAATCGTTATCAATATATTCTAGTTTTTCAAGATTCGTACACGAAGTGAGTAGAGTTTAAACCGTTGAATTCGGCGGACGGAAAGTCGCTTGCACGCGCGTTTGAGGAATTAATATTGCTGCGATGGAAAATACCGGATTACCTCGTTAGCGATAACGCGGAAGTGTACCAGAGTAAAGTTTTCCAGGATACCTTAAGCGAGTATGGCGTAGAGCACGTATTCTGTCCTCCCTATCACCAGTATTTCTGAAATTCGGACGTAATCCGCGGACCGCAAAAAGCCTAACGCGTGAGGTAGCGAGGAAAGTACCCGTAATCAGATTGAGTCCCGAAATTTGGCAAGATCGCTTACAGAGGTTAAACGTGCTGCGCGATTTAGTGAGTAAGCATATTGAGAGCGCTCAGGAACGACAGAAGTGTGCATACGATAAGAAGCGCCGGTGTGATGTGCGTTTAGTAAACAGCACCTGAAAGGCGAAAGAAGGTGCCTCGGGGAGGTAAAAAGAAACGGACTCGGATAGAAGCTGCTCGAGCGTTAGCCGCTCGGCATGAAGAAGAGGCTGAAGGCGACCCTCTTGTGGAGCGGATAAGGAGCGATGCTCGCTCTCGACCATGAGGCCTCTAGCTCTAACCGCAGGGATGAGGAGGTGGCTCGCCGCCGTACCCCACCCGTGTTGGAATCACAAGAAATGGTGGTTGATCAGCCCTCCGCCGAGTTGGCCCCGAGCTCTGGTGCCCCGGAAGTAGGGCCCTCCCAGGATCAGGTGTAGTTTGACGTTTGTGAGTAGAGTATTGTTTGCTATACTTTTATTTATTTTATTGTTTTGATTATTCTCGTGTTGTATGCATGTAAGGGTTGAATGTAGACAGAAGTACGCGTAGCTTCGACGCGTGCAGATGAGGTGGAGAACCCTTTCGAACCTATAATCCTGTCCTTTTTTTTATGAGCGAACGTTCGCTCTGGGGCACTGACGGGGAGGAGCGAGATGATCGTCAGTCAATCGTTGGGAGAGATCGATGACTTGGGGGGGGGGGGGGGGGGGGGCTGTGACGGGACCCTGACTAGAATAGCCGGCCCTGTCTGGCTCGTTCTCTCTCTCTCTCTCGCAGCCTCGCTCCTTCGCTGTTGCCCTGGCAAGCGTTTGAAAATTACGAACCGATACCGATGATCGCTCCGCTTTATTTCAGGACCAATACCTGAGCCGGGCATTATCATTAGGAGCCAATTGGGAGCGAAAGCGGCTCTGGCATGAAGAAGAGAGAGAGATTGACGCGTTGCGAGTAGAGAGTAAGCGCGCGCGAGTGACCCGCGGAGATCCGCTCGCAAGAGCGAAGCCGCCGGCGTTGCTCGAGCTTACGCGCGAACGATTAGGGGAGAAAGTTCGACCCGATATTCTGAGTTAGGCGGATCGTTTTGAGGGCCAAGCGTGCGTACGTAAGAAAATGCTAATCAGTCAGGTCAATACAATGAGAGCTGAGGACGACGAGCAGATCAAAGCACGGAGAGGAGTTCCAACGACCCTCGCATCGTAGAATCCATCTGAGCCTGCCACGAGCCTGCCAGCAGTCCCGCAGTATTTCCTGCCTATAGCGGAATTACCAGCATTTCCTGCCAGCAGCTCCAGCAGCAGTTGCTGTCAACAGCACTAGCAGCGATTCCTGCCATCAGCCTTTACCAGGTCAGGTCGTCTCTCTCTCTCTTTCTCTCTGTATTCGCGAGTGTGCGACACGATGACGAAGTGCTCGCAAACATAGCGAATATCACGATCAGAACGAGTCCTTCCTTTGTAACCCTCTCAAATCATTGTACCGTGCCCCCGTGCGATTTTCCGCACGAGCGCAGGCACGCGGCCGTTGAGGACGACGCGTGAACTCGCGTCGTCGCTCTTTTTTTGTTAAACGTAGAGAATAAATATTTTTAACGGTTATATTACGATTATTGTGTTCACCCGTCATTCCTTTCCTCTCAAACCAAAGCCTAAAATGCTAATTTAGTGACGAGGCCTTTCGTCATCGTTCAGAGGAGCGAAAGAGCCTGCCTTACCTTCTTCTTTAAAAATAATTTGTGATACGGTGCTTGGGCACGGGTCCTTGCATGGCTCCTAGGAACTACCATTTCCCAAAACGCTTTTGATTTTAATCATTAGTGTCACAGTTATATTAGCAGTAAAAGTTACAAACCAACAATCAGTCGTTGATTGAAATTAAAAGTGACAATACAGTGCATTCCGAGTGTCAATCGTCATCCAAAACTGAAAGGATTGACACATCAAAGCATAGAGTTCCTAAAATGTCTCGGCTTAGAAGTAATTTCTGGTGCAAAGTAACTTGCATTATTTTTTGCTGCTTTCAACAAATTAACGTAGAACGTTTTAGAAATTCAGTCACCTGTCGCCTTTGGTGAATCCTTGATTCATTATGAGATTCACACTCATCAACCATACACCAAAATATCTTCCAAAATAGCCATGAAAATTTGCATATCAATCCAACATCAATACTTGTGTCTTTTACTATCTCGTCGCTAATTACGTATTTGTGGTAGGATATGCGACAATAAGAATGCAGTCTTAACGAATACTCTATTTGTGAACAATGCCTGCTGTCACTTGTTTGAGAAAATTAGGTATGAGCTAAATGCGATAGAAATAGATAATGCAAAAACGTTGGTCTTACAACTATTATGAACAATTGGCTATCACATAATCTAAGTCAAAATTGGATTGCTGAAAATGCCCGATGGATAACAGAAAATGATCAGAAAATAATCAACGACGAAGGATATTTCGATGTCACTATTCCTTCATTACCTTCATTACTATTCCACACTAAACTTCATTTTCGGATTTGCCGAAAATTATCGCAAAGTATTGGTAAACATGAAACATAAACTAATTCTCACACGATCGAGCAGTGATTTAAATGCCATTATCTAAACAACAAAATTAGTGGAACTGAAAACAATCATCGAAAACTTCAAGATCGATATAACGCGCATCGAATGGTTTATGCCGTACGTTACTGCATGGAATACTCAAAAAATTCATCTACTTGATTTTCTAAAAAGCAAAAGAAGCATTTCAATGAGTTTTCATAGTTGGGAATTATATTAGTATCCTATGCTACCTATGAACATAAGTGATGTATGGACAGTCAAAACTGCAAATTAATTGAAAGAACCACGTCATGTCATCTTAACTTTTCAAACTAAACGATAAAATATTTCAACAGTTAATGCAAGCGTATTCGATCATTGCAACGTTAGTAACGTGAAATTTTTCCTTATCTTTCAGTGTTATCCGTATGGTAATCTTAATATTGACATTAATAAGTATCAGTTTGCAATGTTATATGACATGTATGCCAATTTCCATAAGGAATATTACGGTAAAGACTCTGAACCGATGCTAAAAAAATCTACCTTCATAAAACAAGTTCCACTCATTGTCATTGATTGCTCTAAAGAAAATGAGACATTGAAGAACTCTGCAGTGGATGTACGCTTGGAGTTTGAAACAAGGAAATATATTCCTGAAGGAACTTCAGCGTATTGCCTCATTTTACATATTCGCATCGTTCAATACAATCCAATAAGTGGGGATGTGAATAAACTTATTTAGAGAGTGGAGATCGATGTATAAAAGAGATGACTCTTCCCCCAAGCAGCTCAGTAGCAGCCAGAATGGAGTACGTAGTGGGTGTGCAACGTTTTATGATGCCTGGCAATACGTATTCCTTAGAGGAGCTAGCAATACTTACACTTAACTGCGACGAAGAACCACTCATACCATTATTCAAACCACCGTTTCCAAGGCGAAGACTAACTGAAAAATGTAAGCGTTATATTCTTTGGAAGGAAATCTACTACCATGAATTAGAATGGGACTCTGGTGATTTCAAGTATGAAGAGCATAAATTCATCATCACAGACACGCTCAAAGCTGCTACAAAAATTTTTGTATCCGGAGATCTGAAAAAAGAGAGGTTAGAACGATATGGCCTCAAAGTTTTCGACTCGAATGATTGGGAAAATTCCCCTTTTGAAAATATGAAATCAGTTACTGTGTGTCCTAATCATAACGGTAAATACGTAACGACGTGCGCTCATCAAAATATCAAATTTA